TCCTTGTTTTTAATTGTTGAGTAGTATTCCACTGTGTAAATGTACCACAATTTCTGTATCCACTCTTCCGTTGAGGAACATCTGGGTTGTTTCCAGGTTCTGGCTATGAACATGGTTGAACAAATGTCCTTGTTGTATACTTGAGCATATTTTGGATATATGCCTAGGAGTGGTATAGCTGTATCTTGAGGAAGCAATATTCCTAATTGTCTGAGAAAGCACCAGATTGATTTCCAAAGTGCTTGTACAAGTTTGCATTCCCACCAGCAATGGAGGAGGGTTCTCCTTTCTCCACAACCTCTCCAGCATGTATTGTCACTTTAGTTTTTTATCTTAGCCATTCTGATGGGTATAAGGTGAAATCTCAGGGTCATTTTGATTTGCATCTCCCTGATGACTAAGGACGTTGAACATTTCTTTAAGTGTTTCTTTTACCCCATTTTTAAATTGGATTATTTGGGGATTTTTTTTGATGTATACTTTCTTGAGTTTATATATATATAAATATATATGTTCATATCAGCCCTTCTTCAGGAAGCTGGCTCCTGTGTCAATGTGTTCAAGGCTATTTTTCACTTTCTCTTCTATCAGGTTCAGTATATCTGATTTTATGTTGAGGTCTTTGATCCACTTGGACTGGAGGTATGTGGGTTTATTTCTGGATATTCAATTAGATTCCATTAATCAACCTGCCTGGTTTTGTTTGGTTTGGTTTTGCCAATACCATATGGTTTTTATTACTATTGTTCTATAGTACAGCTTGAAATTAGGGATGGTGATACACCAAGAAGTTCTTTTGTTGTATAGGATTGTTTTAGATACACTGGTTTGTTGTTGTTGCTGTTGTTTTTCCATATGAAGTTGAGAGTTGCTCTTTCAAGGTCCATAAAAAAATTGTGTTGGAATTTTGATGGGAATTGCATTGAATCTGTATATTGTAAGATATATATCTGTAAGCTGGACATTTTTACTATGTTAATCCTGCCAATTCATGAGCATGGGAGATCTTTATATCTTCTGAGATCTTATTCAGTTTGTTTCTTCAGAGACTTGAGGTTCTGGTTATGCAGGTCTTTCACTTGCTTGATTAGAGTTATACTAAAATATTTTTATTATTTGTGGCTATTGTGAAGTGTGTTGTTTCACTAATTCTTTCTCAGGCCATTTATTGCTTTTATATAGGAGGGCTGCTGATTTTTTTTTTAAGTTAATTTTGTATCCAGGCATTTCCCTGAAAATGATTCTCAGCTGCAGGAGTTCCCTGGTAGAATTTTCAGGTCACTTATGTATACTATCATATCATCTGCAAATAGCAATACTTTGATGTCTTCCTTTCCAATTTGTATTCCCTTGAGCTCCTTGTCTTATTGCTCTAGCCAGAATTTCAACTGCTATACTGAATAGTTTTGGAGAGTGTGGGGTCTCTAGAACCAGTGTGGCCTCCGGGAAAGCAGACATCTTCTGTCAAAGTTGTGGGCTGAATATGGAGCCCCAGGGATGGGGTGCAGTTTGTGGCCACTGGCTGTGCTTTAAGGGGAGTTGCCAGGCATAGGCATAGAGTCGGGTCTTATCTGGGTAGTAGATTTGTTAGTAGAATTTTCTTTGGGCTAATTAAATGGTACATTTTTTTAAACTGTATGGTTTAAATATTTGATGTTTTCAAACATTGTTTAGTACTATTTTTCTATGTATAGACTTACCTATACATTTCTATGAATTTTCATCTGAAACATTTATCAAATGTTTTCAAGAGTGTCTCAAAACTTAAAGAATTACATAAGTTAGTCACTGTAATCTCTGATCAATGGATAAATAGCCCTTGCCATGCCTAACCCGACGCTTTAGTGTGGTCATCAGTTACCCTGCATAACTGCTTTTCTGTTGGAGCCTACTTCCAAGAAAACAAAACAAATAGCCTCTTGCTGCCACTCAGGACCTTCTTAACAGGGAAGATCCTTTTGCCTCCTGAAGCTTTGATTGTGGTAGTTGGCACAGTTATATGACTTTATAGTGTTCCTATATGCAGTTTCAATATGCAAATATTTAAAAGGTCAATTTATTCAGTATATATACTGAGTTGTACATACAGCTCCAGGCTTTCTGAGTCTTAGGCAGAGTACTGTAGTGAGTATGGGTGCACCAAACTAAATTAAAGCTCCAGTAACCATCACCGTGCTTGACCTTTTATATGATGTCTTAGGGTCAGTCTTCTACATGGTATGTTATTAATCAACGTTTTCTAAGAGCTTTAATGTTAAATGGCAAAAATCATTACTGACTCTGGAGTCTTGCAACTGAGAACTCCAACCTCGAAGACATTCGCTTTAAAATATTTCAGAAAGATAGTAGACAAAATGATAGGTTTTTTTTTTCCTATTAAATATGAAAAAGTTGGGGCTGAGGAGATGTCTTAGTTGGTAAAGTGCTTGCTGTGCAGGAATGAGAACAGGAGGTTGGTCCACAGAACCCATGTGAAAAAAGCTGAGTGTGGTGGTTCATACTTGCAATCCTAGGCCTAGGAATGTAGAGCCAAGAACCTCCCCAGGCTCTGGGGCCAGCCAGCCTAACCTGCTTGATGAGTTTCAGACCAGAGAGAGACTTTCAAACAACAACAAAAACGGGGGTGTCTGCGTAGACCTGATGTCTGAGTACACCGAGGTTGCCCTTTGGCTTTCACGTACACACCCAACATAAGCACGGGCACCTGTACACACAGTCTACTAGTCCTCATGCTCGTGCAGGTGGGCGCATGTGTGCACGCGTGCACGCACACACTCCATAAAATGACGGCCTGAAAGAAAGGTTTCCAAAGTCCTGGAAGTCTGTACCCCGCTGCTGTAAAGTGCAGTAGCCGTGGGCAGCACCGGCCTGCTACCTGCTGAGGATGACTTTGTTCCCATGCTTGGGGTCACATGCCTTGGAGCCGCCTTAAACCCCTAGGGCATACTAATGGTGGCTATCATTATAAAGGAAAGGAAGAGGGATCCCAGTGAAAACATTGGTTTGTCATGGGTGTGTACTGCAGGGATTATTATTGGGAGTCTAACAAGAAAGATGTAGAGGATTTAAAGGGATAAGTAGAAACAGGTGGTCCTTACATGAAAATGAAGATTCATGGTTTGTTCATTCATCCTATGTGGGAAGGGTTCCTTAGGTACAGATATGCCATGCCCAGACGAAGGTAGAGTGGTGATGGGATCCAGAGAGAACAGTAGCCCCTGCATATGCTGTCTGAGTATAAAGAGACTGGAGAGCCCTGCTTAAATGAAATCTTCATGCTACGTCTTTCTATCAGTCTGTCAGCCGCTCAGGCTTTGAAAAAGATTTCCAGTTTGGAATCAGGGAAAGCTATACATGATATATCTTAGAGGGATGTTTATAAACGCACATCTGAGCAACTCCAGAAAGCTCAAGGATTTTTTGCTCACCTTTTAAAAGAGTGCTGTAATGGTTCAGGAAGGTCTTTTCTTCCCATTGTGATAAAGTTGACCTATTGATTCACTTGAGTTAAATTGCTCTATCTCCCAGCATTCGTTGTTACAGTTAGTAATAGGCACTGTTTTGTGTGCGTGTGAACTTACCTAGTAGGGAAGATGAGCCTCGTTAATCAGGAAAGCAGCTCAGTGAGGCCGCCGCCAGCAGGAGCTCTGGAACCAATGTCCAGCTATGGAGTCCTGGCTCGAGCTCCCACAGGGAGGATCATTTTGGAAATGAGTCTAAGCATCAGTTTTCTGTTCTGTGATAGAAAGGGTATAATATCTCTTACTTGGACTTTCTGTGATGAGAAATGAAAAATTATACATACAAATATTTTGTCCAATGCACAGAACCTAGTCAGAACTTAAGAACTTGAATACATTTATAAATCAGTGGCTTCATTTTTCTTTCATCTGTCAACATGGGAAGAGTTCTGTTGCTTTGTGACAGCCTGGTTTCGGTATAATGTGTGACTGGATGGGTGGCTGTTGGGTCTAGGCAAGTGAATTAGTAAAGCAGCTTCAGACTAGTGTATGGCCGTGCTACCTTGACCGTCTACAGGGCAACTGATGATACGCATATCTTTCGGTCTGGCATCATTCATTTTAAAACTACAATAGAATCCAGACGCTATTCTCTTCACCTCGCTTGTTCTGTTGTTGGGGGAGGGGGGTTGGTTGGCTTTGGTTTTCTGAGACAGAGTTTCTCTGTATAGCCTTGGCTGTCCTGGACTCACTTTATAGACCAGGCTAGCCTTAAACACACAGAGATGCACCTGCCTCTGCCTCACCAAGTGCTAGGATTACAGGCATGAGTCACTGTGTGCAGCTACACTCACTTGTTTAAAGAGCATAATTTGTTAGATTTTAAAGAGGAATGTTTAACTATCACCACTGTTCAATTCCCTATCCTACTCATTACTCAAAAGGAAACCACATATCCGTTAAGTAACCAATTTCTTCTCTCACATTCCCTTAGGCCCAGCAACAACAAATCTATTCTTTGAATATAGGTTTTCTTTTTAGTTCTCTTTTTTTTTACATAAATAACATATTTTTTTTCATGACTGACTTCTTTTACTTGCCTTAATATTTTGAAGTTTATATATATATATATACATATATATAATCTCCATGTCATAGTATATATCAAAAATGTTCCTAATTTTTAAGTCTGAATAATATTCCATTGTATAGCTTTGCTACATTTTATCTATTAAACAATAGATGAAATAGATCGTTTTCTCAGGGGAATCTATGAATGTAGTTACATTCTCATCAAAATACATATTCTGTGTATTTGTTCTTTCCCTCAGAGAGGTTGTCAGTTTTGAAAGAGAAGTTTCATAGACTATCAGGAAATGCAATCTGAATTTGTTCGAGAGAACTAATTATTATTCTTTTATTGAAGCCTCGTTTTTTTAATTTATAAAAAATACATTTAAAAATTTTGGATTTTTGCCTTTTCCTTTTCCTCACCTCAACTCCTTCTTATGTAATTCTGAAGCTTTATGAACTCCGTAGGGAGAAGGAGGAGCAGCTCAGCCGTGTGACTGAAGTTCAGAGGTTGCAGGCCCAGCAGGCAGATGCCGCCCTGGAGGAGTTTAAGCGGCAGGTGGAAGTGAACTCTGAGAAGGTCTATGCTGACATGAAAGAGCAGGTGAGGCATGATCATCTTCAGAAGCATTTCAGTTTTTAAACGTGCTGTTGGTGCTGGAGTGATGGCTCAGCAGTCAGAAGCATATACTGGCTTTACAGAGTTCTCTTCCCACTATGCACACGCCTGGATCACCACAACCTGTGGTTCCAGCTTCAAGGACTCCAGCTGCCTCCACAAGACCTTCACGGTAACTACATGACGCATGCTCACATGAATGTGTGTAATCAAGTATAAGGACTGGGTATGGTTATGAGTTCCAGGCTTGCAGGTTCCAGGCCAGCCAGGGCTATATATAGTGAGAAAAAGAAAGTTGTGTCAAAAGTAGCAATACAGTTGGGTCAGAGGTTGAGAATGAAATGGGATATGATCTCTTAACTCACCTTTGAAGCCAGAAAGATCATTTAAAAGTCCTAAAGTCCCTTCAGGAAGTGTAGTAATGACCAAAGCATATTGCCTGGGGGATGGATGAACCTGCCAGGAAAAGCCACCACCAAATATTGACTTCTGTGAAACAAGGATGTAACTTGACCAGGTTGAATCTATTTTAGTGATCAGTCATGAGAGATCCTTTCAATGGGCAATTCAAGAGAACATAAGTTGTTTCTAGTTCTTGTAAGTTTTTGTGAGGTTTTTGTTTTGTCTTGTGACAATTTATTATTTTACAAATAATAGAAACTAAGAAACTAATTTTATGCAGATTATTTCAATTTATATAATATTTCGTATATAATCCCCATTTATAATCTATGTAGAAAATAAAATCTTTTGATTACATAAGAAAAAATTAACATTATAATTTATATGTACATGTAATGTCACGATAATATGGATATTAAGTATATATTAATGTTTAGTGAAAAAATATGTAATTTTATACCTGCATGAAATGATCCTAGAATAATTTTCATTTTTTGGCTTTTCAGTACAGGGTTTTTTATATAGCCTTAGCTGTTCTGGAACTTGTGTAGATGAGGCTGGACTTGTACTCACAGAGATCTGCCTCCCTCTGCCTCCTGGATGCTGGATTAAAGGTGTCTGCCACCACTGCCCAGCAAAGAATAATTTTTTTTTTTTGGAAAACTATTTTTTTAATTTTATTAATTATACTTTATTCACTTTGTATCCTCCCATAAGCCCCTCCCTCCGTCCCTCCCTCCTCCCCTCCTGATCCCAGATCCCACCCTCCCTCCCCCTTCTTTGTGCATGCCCTTCCCCAATTCCACTGATAGGGGAGGTCCTCCTCTCCTTCCTTCTGCTCTTAGTCTATCAGATCACATCAGGAGTGGCTGCATTGTCATCTTCTGTGGCCTGTTAAGGCTGCTCCCCCCTTAGGGGGAGGTGATCAAAGAGCAGGCCAATCAGATTATGTCAGAGGCAGTCCCTCTTCCTATTACTATGTAACTCACTTGGACACTAAACTGCCATGGGCTACATCTATGCAGAGGTTCTAGGTTATCTTCATGCCTGCTACTTGGTTGGAGTATGAGTCTCTGGGAAGACCCCTGTGTTCAAATTTTCTGGTTCTGTTGCTCTCCTTGTGGAGTTCCTGTCCTCTCCAGCTCTTACTATTTCCCACTTCTTATATAAGATTCCATGCACTCTGTCCAACAGTTGGCCATAAGTCTCAGCGTCTGCTTTAATAGTCTGCAGGGCAGAGCCTTTCAGAGGCCCTCTGTGGCAGGTTCCTAGCTTGTTTCCTGTTTTTTTCTTCTTCTGATGTCCATCCTCTTTGCCTTTCCAGATGGGGATTGAACGTTTTAGTCAGGGTCCTCACTCAAGTGACAACACATGCTGGAGAGGTTGTGGAGAAAGGGGAACCCTCCTCCACTGCTGGTGGGAATGTAAACTTGTACAATGGAAATCAATCTGGTGCTTTCTCAGACAACTAGGAATAGTGCTTCCTCAAGATCCAGCCATACCACCCCTAGGCATATATTCAAAAGAGGCTCAAGTACACGATAAGGACATTTGCTCAACCATGTTTGTAGCAACTTTATTTGTAATAGCCAGAAGCTGGAAACAGCCCAGATGCCCCTCAACTGAAGAATGGATGCAGAAATTGTGGTACATCTATACAATGGAGTATTACTCAGCAATGAAAAATAAGGAAATCATGAAATTTGCAGGTAAATGGTAATGGAAAGGATCATCCTGAGTGAGCTGTCCCAGAAGCAGAAAGACACGCATGGTATATACTCACTCATATAGACATATAACATAGGATAAACCTACTAAAATCTGTATAATCTAAAGAAACTAATCAAGAGAGAGGACCCTGACTAAAACGCAAAGAATAAATTTTTAAAAGAAGAGATTATGTAAGTACTAAAAGCTTCTATCTGTTATTATCGTTTGACTTGTTATATTTACTATTACACTATTATTTTTGTGTTTTGTTTAATTAGTATATTTTAATGTTAAACACATTTTACATATGAGAATGACCACATATTAATAATCAGCTATTGTAGTAAGTACATTTAGATTACTTTACAGTACTTTCTGTAATAATGAGGGTTTCTGTTGCTATGATAAAACACTAGGACCAAAAGCAGCTTGGGGGGGAAAGGGGTTATTTTGCTTATACTTCTACATCACAATTAATCCTTGAAGGTCCTGAGCAGGAATTCATATAGGGTAGGAACCAATGCAGAAGCCACGGAGGAGTGCTGCTATGGGCTTCCTCTTCATGGCTTGCTTAGTCCACCTTCTTAATAGCACCAAGGACCACTCTCTGATGAGTGGCCCCATGCACAATGGGCTGGGCCCTCACCCATCAATTATTAATTAAGAAAATGACCCCGCACTCATTTTCTCAACTGAGGTTCCCTCTGAATGACTCTGGGTCCTGTCAAGTTGACATAAAAGTTAGGCAGCACAATGGCTGGAGCAGAAAGTAGTAGTGCTGTGTTCCACCTCAGCTGCACTTAGGAGCACCAAGCAATGCGAATGTTGGGAACGGCCTTGAACAACACCTATAAGCTTTATGTTTGAAACTGTTTGTTTTGATCTTCCTTTCTCAGTTGTGATTTCCAGTAAGGCTGATTTATGGGGTTTCACACTGGGAGTATGGGTTGCGGGTCTCTGTTTTTCTGTTTTCTTTGGGGATTTTGTGCTGGGCAGCAGAGACTTTCCATCCCTGTTGCGAGGATGTGACTTTCAGTTCCTGTTCCATTTGGCCCTGGACTGCATATCTGGCCCAGATATTTCATGGAGCTGATAGGAAGCTCTCTGAAGCTTAAATGAAACAAATATAGAAATTATCAAAAAAGAAAGCTCCATGCCGAGTATCAAAACATACTACCAAGAATTTTAGGCTAAATAAAAGGTGTTTGCTAGTACCTAGGCTGGTAGAACAAGTTTTTGTGAAAAGCTATTATGCTCAACTTTGGGTCAATAAGTGCACTTAGAGCTGATGGCATAACACTAACAAGGTCATTTCTTGGGTGATTAAGAAAACAAAACCATCAAATAATAGAATTTCAGAGAACACTGTAGACCCAGTGTACAGTTTTTGCATTCAGTACTCACAATGTAAAAGCACAACTCTGAAAATTACCTGTGGAAGAATTCAGAGAAGGTGTAAGAAAAATAGTACCTTTATATGGGCCACATATAAAAATATTATAATGAAAAAAATATTATAATGAAACTTGGGTATGTCATGGAAAAGAATTGAACTTCCAGGGTAAAATAAATGTTCTATAACTTTCTAGGCATTACAGTACTAGTAAAGGAATTAGAAAGATGATAGAGTAGTGTTTCACAGTTTGAGAAGAAAAAATTAAAATTGAATTTTAATTTAATCAATAACCAAGGAGTTTTTCACTGACAAGATAACAGAAAAAGTGCACACACACACATATGCACACACACGCACACACACACATACCTTAATTATCTCTAAAAACATTCCATGAAGACATTTATCTAGAGATGAAGCACAAGCTTTCCACACATAGGAATACCATCATATAAAAGCTGCATCAAACAAAGATCTATTAAAGTAGAAATGAATTTAAATGATACTAAAAAAATCTTATTATAAAAAAGAACATGAAGTGAATTGATTTTCCAAAAAGAAGGTATATATGTTATAAAAATACAAATTTAAGAAATTGAACAAGCTAGGAAATGACTGTGAAGTGCTTGCCACACAGGCCTATGGTCCTACATCTGAACCCGTCAACCATGGAGAAGCCATGCAAGGTCTCACACTTCTGTACTTCTAGCTCAGCAACCAGGCATAGGAAGGAGACAGAGACAGCCAATCCCTAGAGCTTGTGAGCAAACAAGCTGGTTGAATTGGTGAGCTCTAGACTCAGTGAGAGACCGTCTTAAAAGCTAAAGTCAGTATCCAGGTGGGTTCCCTAGAAAGGGGAACAGGTACTATTTCTGACATGAACTCAGTGACTGGCTCTTTGACCTCGCCCTTCCACCAGAGGGAGGAGCAGCCCTGCTAGGCCACAGAAGAGGAGTTTACAGCCAGACCTGAAGATACCTGATAAGCTAGGGTCAGATGAAAGGGGAGGAGGTCCTCCCCTATCAGTGGACTTAGAAAGGGGCAGTGAGAAGATGAGGGAGCGAGGGTGGGGTTGGGAGGGAATGACAGAGGGGGATACAGCTGGGATACAAAGTTAATAAACTGTAACTAATATTAAAAAAATAAAAATTTAAGTATAAAAAATAAAAGAAGAGATAAAGAAAAAAGATTTATTGATGTAAAGAATCATATGGATGTTCCTCAGTTAACATCTAATAAACAAGAAAAAAATAAAAGAGAGATTGCTTAGCCTCTGAGAACACTGGTTGCTCTTCAAAGGTCCTAGGTTCTATTCCCAGATCCCACATGGCAGCTCACAATTGGCTATAATTCCAGTTCCAGAAAATCCGACACCCTTTTCTGGCCTCTGAGGACACTGTACATATGTCGTATATAGGCTTAAAGACAGGTAAAGCATCCACATAAATAATAAGAAAAAAATTTAGGTGGGGATTGA